TAAAGTTTAAGTAAAAATGGTTGGTTTCACTACTAAGAAATCTCAGTNATAGAAGTTAAGTATTATTTTATACTTTATAATAAAATTAAGTCTTTAATAATACATTAAAAAAAAAAGTCATTCAGATTGCAAGGCTCTCAGAATATCTATACTTGTTTGTAGTTTAGCTTGTTGCTTTGACTACATTGATCTGATCAATTTGCGGACCGCATGCTTCTATCCCAAGAACTGCCCCAAAAACTATCCCATTAGTAGAAGCATGTGTTCCACATTCCTAACATAAAAACCGTAAACTGTACAAAGCACCTGCATGACATTAATGATAACCAAATACATTATTTTTCTTAAATGCAATGTGACAGTCTCCATTTCATTAATTAAGAGAAAATTAGGAGATTGAAAAAGATAAAGACCACCAACAGGTAGTATACAGATGACGATGAGGCATCAAATAAGGGACTACAGCAAGATCATTAACTACAAGACATGAAAACTTTGATAACACAATTTTTTCTACCAATGAAGGGAATCACATCAGATTTGATAAGGGTAGAAGCCATGCTGAATGTGGCTATATTTACCTGGGGATATAGCAGCACTGATTTGCTTCGAGGCGGAATAAATATGCCTTATAAATGGCATTTTCTTAATAAGGTATTCCCCAAACCAGAAAACAGTGGCACCCATCCAGGATGAGACAAAAACGCCAATGGAAAATACAAAAATCAAAGAAGTCACAAATCCAAGACCTGCATTAGGAAAACAAACTTGTTATCGGATAAAGCAGGACCTTTTCGACATACAACAAGCCAGAAGCTGAATTTTGATCTTATGTAATAAGCCATTGAACATAAAATTTCTCAAAAACTTCTTATAAAGATTTACATAATTTGATTATTCAATCATGCTTTTCTCTATTTTTAGGTCACAAGGGAGTTAAACAATTCAAAACCATGCTGTAAATCATAATACATAAAGTTGCATCATTCATAATTGCTGCCACGACATGAAATAGAAAAAGAACATGCAGGTAAAGTAAAAGAAGTTCATATGTCCTGGGAACAATCATAGCTATACTATCTAAAATATAATAGTGATCATGAAATGCACTGATCTTTTCTTATTTTTCAGAGTATAGATGATTTGGGCTGTGTTTTGGCATATCTCAAAATGCACTAGTTTCAATAAATGGTTAACAATTTATTGGTGGTCAACGCACCATTGCTTGCCAGCAACTTCTATTGTTTCTTTTTTGTATTTTTTTTTTTTTGGGTGGGGGGGGAACAAGGAGCAGATAGTGAAAAACCCTGCATCCAGCCCATGTTTTGCATTAGGAAAGACAAGGCCTCATGGGGCCTTGTCTTTCCTACCGTACTATTCGTGGCAAAGCAGTCTGTCAATAGTGCATGAGGGATGAATCTAACCCACAGGCAAAGGAAGCATTAGTCAATCTTCAGACCAACTCCTACTTGAACTTAAGTACCAATGAAATCCCAAAGTTGAGGGATTAATAAGTGGTTGCCTTGTTTTTGAATCATGCACATTACAAACTTCCAATATATTCCTCCATTCTCACTCTGCCTTCCCTTTGTCCATCATCATTTACAAATCTTCTGCCAAGAACAAGATTCATCTCCCATAAATATCTGGCATCCACTTGTATGACAGTTAGCTTGGTGAGTGCCAATTTAATCATAAACTCCTCAAACACCAAATGAAAAACACATATACACAGCAGACTAGGATACATGAGATTTTATGAACGTGACAGGAAAGTACGGCCATGTAGTTTCCACTGAAGCAGGAAAAAAAATTGACTTGTGATTCGAGGCCATTGGCATGATAGACAACCATGAGCATGAAAACTCGTGGATAATAAGTCCAGAATACAGGCACTGTGCAGTACAAAATAAGCAAAACAAGTACAGAAGCCATCAAAATAAAGAGAACAGAAAGTATTTCTTATTTAAACATTCCGTAGTCTCAAAGAAATTATAATTTTGACTAAATCTTCACAGAAAGTATAAGTTTGCAAGCTGGTAGAATTCAGGCTCTGGAACAGCATAAAAAATCTAATTCTCTCTGAGCCAATCAAATCATTTTCAACAAGTGTTTTAACCAAAATATTTGTGTATTTAGCAAAAACTCAAAGAACAAGGTATTGCTCTGACCGAAAATCAGCAAGCTATCATCAAACTAGAATGAAAATAAAACCTAACGAAAAACATGCACAATAGGCAAGGAGCTGAAACGAACATTGAGACACCTGCAGGCTCTGCAGTGAGGGCTCAAAATTCGAGTGGTTAAGTAAAACTCAGTCTGGCACATGAATGAGCTTTTGACTATAACAAACTCAGGTCTGGGCCACACAATAAAAAAGAATAACAACGAAATGAAGCTCAATAAATATAACAGATTGCTAAAATAGAGAACAGAAATAAAAAAGATTAAACTGCTACATGCGCACAATATTGAGACAACTGAAGAAAAAGGAATATAATGCAGCTTGAACATATAGTTCACTCTTTGGCTCATAAACTTTATCAACCCAAACCATTTGAAAAACAGCAACAATTGGTAATAACCTCATAGAATAACACTTGTATTAACAATTGAAGTGTTACAAAATGTGAATCTTTTATTCCTAAACATGACAGCAAGTTCTCAGAAAACAGCCATCATTCTTCATAAATGCATATTCCGCTGGTCAGGGATTAAGATAAAGATCAATAGTGGTGGATTGATTTCAAAGAACCACTTGACCTGTACAAGTAGGATTGAAGTTTTAATCCTCAAAGCAGGCGTTTTGAAAATAGCATTGACCTGCCTCAAACAAATTACAAAGAAGAACACAGACAATCCATGCTGTAATTGAAAAAAAAATTGCTCAGGAACAATTCAAGTGCAAGTTATTGAATAATAAATTACAAAGAAGAACACAGACAATCCATGCTGTAATTGAAAAAATAAATGCTCAGGAACAATTCAGGTGCAAGCTAATATCCAAGCAGTAGCATCCACAAGCGACAAAGATATCAGCTTGAAAGAAATAAATTCATTAAAAGTACTATGCATAAACAGCTGAACAGAAAAAGGATTAGAGTCACACTTTTCAGCGAGGCTGAAAAGAATGGTTCCAGAATGAAAATTAAAACAAGGATGAAATTCTAAGATTATGTTTCTGTCCAGACCATTGTATAGCCCATTGTTATATCCTTATACAATGGTCTCTATGCATTTAGTTCACACTTTGTAATAATTTTTTTTTTTTCTTTTTTTTTTTGGGGGGGGGGGTAGGGGGAGATAGAGAGAGACATGATCAATGAATCTGGAAAACATTCATAGCTGTACCGAATATGTTGAAGCCCAATCTGACGTATATTGGTCTAAAGAAGCCATCAACAAATTGAATAAACCACCACGTAATGTAAAATGTAATTGCAACTGGAAAGAGTACTACGCTGCAATTAAAATTCAAGTGCTGTTAGAGTTGCAAGGAATAAAGGAAAGAGAAAGGTATTATAAACAGTAAAACAAATGCTGAATCGACTTTAGCGAAGTACATTATAAGTAAATTGGTTGAACATACTAGTAATTTCATGTGGGATAAGACTTGATCTCTTACCATCCAGTCATAAATTTTTTGGAGATCCAGCTTTGAAAAACAACAAAGAAAGCCTGCCCAAGCACAATTGACAAGAATCTCAGACCACGACAAAGTTGATCTAGTACTCTAGTTTGTTTCAGAAGTGTTATAGGTATAGAGTTCGGACAATGTTACAAAAAGCTCTTACCAGTGAAGGCACAAGCAAGTTTATCAACTATAGTATATACAAAGATCTTAACCACCAACACAGCATATCAGCAAGATAAATTGCCACAGGAGGCATGCACGCATGCATGCGAGAATGTGTGGGCACAGGAAGCACATTTAGAGACCTTGAATATCAACGTGAAACAAATGTCCCATTAAACACATTTCGTTCTTTGTTTCTAAGAGTTCTTAGTTCTCTCCATTAAAAACTTTAAAGTTCAGGATATGTGAAACATGAAAAGGATGGATAATAGGCAACGCACATACCAAATGAACGCAAAGAAAATAGCTCTAGAACATAGCTACCAGGATCTCCTGACCTAGCAGTCGATCTTACTTCAGGATCTTGGTCCAGCACTCCAAGTTAGGGATCTCCATGGGTCTTGATCCCCACATTTTGGGATTTAGATCCCCACCTTTTAGGAATCACTCCTGGCCGCTTGAAGGGGCAACAAGAGGCCAAGAAGATGATTGGTTTGGATCTTAGTTACTATTATAATCTCTCTCTTCCATATGCTTTTGGATGTTGTAAATTGTTGAACTGTGAATAAAGCAGCATGTTATGCTTTTCAAAGTCGTGTAAATATTTAAATAAACAGATATTATCAACAAAAGAATCAGTTCTCACATACTGCAATCTAGGCGTGCCTCATCATAATATTTTTTAATTGTATGTTGTAGGTTATTGTTATATAAATTCATTATTTTTATTTCCATTTTTGTGTCCATTTCCTATTGCATTTTGTGGTTATAAAATTTTGGAAAAAAAATGTTTATTTAAAGATTGCATGGAATGCGCTCCCAGCCAAGCGTGCTTCCTATAAGTGTCAATCCATCACTATTGCTACTGCTCTAGCTCTCGCCCCTGCCCCCATTATTACTCCAAAATGCTGTAAATTGTAAAACTCCAAATAAAGCAGCCTGTTATGCTTTTCAAGTTGTGTGAATTTTTAAATAAACATATTTTTTGTCAACAAAAAAAATCAGCTCTCACGTACTGTAATCCAGGCATTGTGTCCACTTTTTTATTGCATTTTGTAGTATTCTTTGATTTAACATTTTAATTTTTAAATTTTGGAAAATTTTATTCAAAGATTGCATGGAATGCGCTCCCAGCCAAACACGCTTCCTACAAGTGTCAATCAGTCGCTCTCGCCCCTACTCCAGCTCTCGCCCCTGCCCCTGCTCTCGCTCCAAGCAACTAAGCTCCAGAGTATAGAAATATGGAAGGGTGTCCGTGGGAGGTGGGAACAAAGAGAGAAGATAGAGATTCTAAGCGGTGTCATCAAGATCAGACCGCCACCAAACCCGCAAAGTGCCTGGTTCAGTCAAAACCGGTCAAACTATTGGTGGAACAGATTTGACTGGATTTTAAAAATATTAAGAAAATTATGAATAATAGTTTAAAAATAAGTACTATATTAGAAAACAAGTTCCCCACTTTGTTTGGCCTGCTGAGCTAGTTAACACCGACTAGTCGGACCAACCAAAATCGGTCAAACACTAATTTTGATTTGTTTTTAACCAAATTGTTTTTATTCTAGACTAAACCGATGCCCAAGGCAGTCCAACCGGTCAGACCAGTTCAATCTAGTCTTGATAACTATGATTGTAAGAACTACAATACATGAGAATTGTGAGTAGAAATCACAAGAAAGAGAGGACACAAAACAGTTGATATCAATTCTTAGAGCAATGAGATGCATTAGTGATAATAATATAAAGAAATGAGATGCATTAGCAATAATGTGTAGGCTGTAGCATAAATAGGATGCCTAATAAGTATCTTGGGTTCCGTTAAGCATAGGGAAACCATTTAAGGCATCGTGAGGAGAAAGCTAGAAAGACTTTATAGAAAGTTGGACTTATGGAGGACTAATTTTTATCTATGGGAAGGAGAATCACTCTTATAAAATCACTGTCATCAAATTTACCTAGTTATTACATGTCATTGTTTCTATCCCAGAGTAAGATCACTGTTATCAAATTTACCTAGTTATTACATGTCATTGTTTCTATCCCAGAGTAAGTTACTAACACAAACACAAGGCTCATGTTCACGCTGGAGAGTCCTTAGTTAAGCTAAGTTTCTGGTTAGGTGGTCAAAATGTGTACACCAAGAAGTAAAGGTGAGTTGAGATTTAAGAATATCCAAGCCATGGATAAGGTAAACTCACAAAGTAGTCGTGGAGATTTGCTTCCCATTCTGTACAACCATGAAAGCAGGTTGTGGAGAGCATGGCATTGATAAAATACGAAAGCTAACGGATGGACATTGCACTAGAAGGAAGCACTAGGAATTCTTGAGCAGGGTTAACAATTGCATGTCGAACGTTGTCAGAGAAATAAGAATGCAGGTGAGTTGTGGTAAAAATACTCTCTTTTGGTTAGAATAAATGGCTTGAACGATGGGCAATCTATAAGACAAAACCCCAAAGCGTTTTGCATTGGCCACGAAACCAGCCTTAAGGGCGGCGGAGGTTGCGGAAATGACTAGTCAACAAGCACTATGGACTCCAACACTATGTTCACCAACAAAAGATAACAAAACTTTTACAGAGCTGCAAGAGGAGCTCCAACATTTTTTCTTCCTGCTGGAAAGTGAGGTTAGGATGGCTTTGGAGCCTGGAAGAAGTGGGGAGTTCTCTGTGGGGGTCCATGTAAAGAACTCTGACTTAATGGTTGGCAATGCTTAACAAAGTGTTGACTGTTGATCGTCTAATGAACAGAGGCACATTCTGAATATCTGTGGAATCTGCAAACATGAAGCTAGATCAGTAAGCCACTTATCCGTTCACTCCAGTGTATCAAAAAGTGCCTACCTTGGGACCCCATGGTACCCCAAGGGAGGATGGGTGCGTGAGCATCGTGCCTAAAGCGAGACAATCCCCTACCACCCAAAAAAAAAAAAAGCCGTGGTATCTAGCACCCCAGCCAAGGCAACCACGCACAACATGTGGTACCAAGTACCTCAGCCTAGGAAACCACCCACTGGTATCAAGATACGGAAGCATAAAGCCTTACATGGCTGCATATATCTGGTGCGGTCAAGCATAGGTAGGCAGGCATGCAAGATGTGCCCACCAAGGCAGCGCATAGCCTGCACATGCCACCACATCATGCCAGTGATGCACTCATATTGTGTATTGATTTTCACAAGTTTGTTTATTTAGTTTTATGGATTAATACCTGCTAAATTTATCGAGTTACCGAGGGTTTAATTTTGAAGAAGATTAAACCAAGAGATTGAAATTTCTCTCAATCTTGGGTTGAGAGTAAAACAAAACCCAAAATAACATTGTACCATGCTTGCTATATGCTACAATGCAAAATTTGGATAATTTCTACTTTTTTTTTAATAATATCGTAGTATGTTTGCTTTCTTACTTAAGTGCATCGTATATTGATATACTCTTGTGTTTTATTAAAGTTAATGAATGGATTGGATCATTGTATTTTACATGTTAATTATATTCGAGAATTAAAACAGTATGTTACTCTCTATTGGCGACTCAGACTTCGTACAGATCAAGGACATATACAAAATTAAAATGTCCACTATCAAATAAACCACATATTCATGTTAGCATTTGTATTCTTATATATTTTATGGTCATTTAAATTTTTCAATGTTTTTTGTCTACGTCAAAAGTGATTCGAACACATCAAGGTGCATGGTGCATTAGACCCCTCAATGCCTCGCACCACATCACGCATTAATGACCTCATGCTTGTCTCAGGAGAACCCTTGATGGGGGCAGAAGATGCCCAATCTACATATACATATGTAGAGAGGAGCACTTCGGGGGCCAGCCCCTCTAGCCACCTAGGCACCACCCTACACTTTTTTGTACAATATTTCCTTTCACGTGTGCTGGGGTTTGTGGCCATCTAAAGGTCTTATGAGAGCATATAAAACTATGACTATAGTGAAATGATGACTCTAGTAGGAATAGGGCCTAGTAAGACCAAATGAAGCATTTTTTTTATGTCGTGACTCACCTAGGCTTGACAACCTAGGACTGCGATGATGTCTAAAACCCAATGTTCACAAAATCAAACCGGTATAGTTAATCGGACATGGACCCAGAAGTGGTTTAATCGGCTTAACCGGTAAACCGACCGATTCAACCGTTCTAATCGGGTAAGTCCCCGGGCGGTCAAAACAGTGTTGAAAACATAAAAAAGATACAAAAAAAAAAACTACTAAAATATAAAAAGCATATAAAGAATGATTAAAACAAACACATTCAAATGAAGTAGAAAATTAAAGAAAAATAGATTTTAATGAATCGATTTTTTAATTAAAGTGAGTATTAATGACAAAAAAAATTAATCTTTTCCATAATTTAAAGAATATTAAAAAATGCATTACAAACCAAATTCCTTATTTTTGAGAATTTATATGCATTTTTTTTAATGTTTTTTTTAAACATCTATTGATCACCAAAAACGCACAAAACCAGAACCGGCCAATGGCCAGTTCCAATCTAACCCTGCGTTAGTGGATAGATCGTCCGATTTTTCTAACAATACTAAAACCCTTTAGCCCTAAACATATGGCATAACCATTGAGGGTTTATAGGGTTATCCCTTGAGGGGGATCGAGAGATGCCCAAGGTGGTTTCTTTGTCAGAGGACTTCATGACCCCTATGTCAGTTGGCAGACCTGAGATGACAAGGGTAAAATCCTCATCATTGACATCACAGAGTATGCACAGATAATAACTGTCTTGGGAAGCAACCCCTTGGGGTACGTCGTGTACATGTGCAGAAGAGATGATCCCTAGCACCATTGTGATAATGTGCATCTTATGGGATGTGGCTTGTCCTAACGGGGGAACCTGTAATCCTTGTACTAAAA